CTCCATGACGCGCTGTGTGATGCGGTCTTTGCTGAGACTTCTGCTGCGGTGGTGGCGGGGTGCCTTGAGGGTGTCCTGGATGGCCTCTGATACCATGGACTCGGTGACTGCGTCGCGTTCCATGCTGCGGCTCCTGCGCCGCGCGGGCGGGAGGATCTCTGTCTGGCCAGTCATGCTGTCTGCGGGCATGGACGATATGTCCGAGGGCATGGGGAGGAAGCGGCCGCCGTCGGTAGACAGGTCGCTGTGGTTGGGCAGCAGCTCGATGTCGACGGGCGGCAGGGAAGAGATGTTGGAGAGGTCGGAGTAGGCGACGGTGCGCGAGTCGTAGAGCTCGGAGTACGACTTGCTGGTCGCGAGCGAGAGGCGCTTGGAGTAGGACGGCGCGTGGGAGTTGCGCTTGGCGGACGTCTGGGTGATCTGGACGTTGTCGCTCGCGGTCGAGTGCCTGCTCTTGCGAGACGAGGGGGTGACGCGGACGCGCACGCTGCCTCGCGAGCCGGCCTGGCCTTCGTCCTTGCCGGACTCGAAGTACTCAATGAGCAGCGACGTCTGCGAGGGGAACTTGCGGGAGAGCCTCGCTTGGCCGCGGGGCTTGGTGGGCGAGGTGGTGTTGATGGTGATGGGGGTGCCGTCGTCGGGGACGGAGTACGAGGTTCTGTCGGTGCGGTTGGAGACGTCGGTGTTGATTTCGTCTATGTGGTAGGTTGATTCGTCTGCGGAATCGAGAGTCGAGGGTTCAGTAGGTGCCGGAAGAGGAGGTCGTTCTGTATCTAAAACCATCGTAGAATCTGAAAGATTCTAGAAGGCGGGGTGGGTGACGGAAGACATGTCCGGCGCCGTTTTCCTCGAGGACGTTATGGGAGGGAAATGATGTTGGCGATGGTGTGGGTGCAGGGCCGCACCGTGGCTGTTTACGTTTGCGCAACCTGGATGTTGCTGGTGCGCGAACAGCGAGGGCGGGTGTACGAGAGGAGCCGTGATAGCGGGCGTGAACGGGACGGGGGTCGTGAACGGGGACGTGAGAGCCCAGTTGCGGTCCAGTAGGCGGTCGAATGCGTGCACACAGCTCCAGATGTCTGCGGCGTGCGACGCTCTGCGACAATGGCCGCCGACGTTCAGGCTAGCCAGCGTCAGACACCTACTCAGCAATGTGAGAGGTCACGGGACTCACCAGACCAGGCAGCACAACAGCTCCCGTCTATCGCAGGTAGCAATGGCTCTGCAGCTCCGTCGCGCTCTTCGCTGGTGGAGAGGCGGTCCTGTGGTGGTCGCCAACTCCAGCTGTGGTGGAGAGAAAGGCTGGGTCACGGCTGGAGAACAGCAATCCTTGTCGGCGCTAACACGGGCTGGAGGTGAGGCTTGTTGACCTTGCAGATCGAGGGTGGCGTGTGGGCGAAGGATTATTAGAATTATTACAATTATCCTAGTGCAATAGTACGATGGGGTATAGAGTTATGAAAGATGATGTAAAGGGCACAGAGTGAATAGAACCACCTGCGACAGGTCGCGTCGTATCAACCAACGATGGGCTACCGGCGATACATCATGACTTGTCTGTCCCCAGCCACTCGGCCGCGTCAAGACCATACAGCGTGCCTGGTGTCCCTCGTGGACGCCGTTGGCCATGCATCCCACTGCAAAGTGCGCGACGAATGCCAGCCTCTACCGTCCCTCCACCTGCTGCCTGTAACAAAGATGGCTGGTCGCACCAAAAGCAACCACGTCGCCTATTCTATTCTTACCCCTCCCGTCTTCCCGCGCCTCCATGCCACAATCTCAAAATCAGGCTCTTGAGATTCCATGTTTTTTGCTGCTTTTCCAGCCAGCTTCAGAACCTCGTGAAATGCTCACCGCCAGACTGTCAAACATCCGCCATGGGCGGCCGTCTCGCTGCTAACTACATAGCTAGCTAGCTTCTAGCACCCTTGTCGTTACCAGGGGTGATGGTGCCGCAACCCCCGTGGGCGGCCGCATCCGCTCCAGCTCGCTCTCCTGTCTACGCGACGTCATTGGCCCGCCAGCGACGAGCGACTTGCCAGCGCATCCCCCAGGGCTCCATACAAGCCGCGGCGTCTGCACTTTCTGCACTTTGGGAAACTCGTAGGGCTGGCTGCCGGGCACAACTCCGTCAAGTAATATACCAGAAGTGGCCTCATGCTAGAGAATAAATATTCCGAAGGATGCAGACTTGGTGAACTGGCAGTTGACGCGGCCTGCGCAATGTTGCTCTTCTGCTGCCTCGGTGGTTGCGCGCCTGAATCTTGCTAGGGCTCACCGGTTTGGTGGCGCTGTACGGGCAGGCAATCTTCAAGACATTTATTTTGCTTACGGTTAGATTTAAGCTACCGAGTACGTCATATATGTCAGGGACAGAGTTGTTTGAAGTTCAAGGTCCACATCAAATTGACACATTTCGCTTCTCAAGTTACTGATATCCTCATGGGTGCTCAATTAGATCATGCAAAGCTATAAACCCTAGATCATGGCCCGTATGTGATTTTGTACGCCAAACTCCCTTCAATGCCTCTCAACCACTACCTCAGAACCTCTTGCCTCCCCTCATCGGTCGTCGACCCTGCGCAGGCTGGCTTCCGTATGCTCTCCTTCCCTCCACCTTTTTGTCGCGACTCAGGCTCGCCCCAAGACTGATATCAATGCGCGGTGGTGTCGAGAAACCGAACGATTTGGCCACCTTGACGAGATCCAGCTTGTGCACGTCGAATACCGACCGCAAGCTATGTGAAGCGTACGACTGGAGGTACGACCGGTAGCCATCCTTTGCGCTCTTGTTGAGGTAGTAGTTTTTGCTGATCAAGGCTTCCAGTTGTGACTGGATGTTGAGAATCTTGTTGGAAGGCAACTCAAACTCCACCAGCGGCACGCGGTTCTCTTTGAGGAGCTTGAGGAATCCTACTTCCGACGGCAGGAGGAACATCAGACTCCTGCCCTTGCCGTTCGCACCTCGGGCTGTTCGACCGACTCTGTGGATGTAGTCTATAGACAAGTCAGTATATACTCCGCATGCATTGCGTGCGTTCAAGCTTACCTCGCGGGTCATCAGGTGGGTCGAATTGAATAACCCAATCCACCTCCGGAATATCTAGACCTCGCGCAGCAACATCGGTGCAGATGAGTGTGCCGCTCTGTGCATTCACAAACTCGAAGAAGCGGTTCGTTCGCGCCTGTTGTTTGAGCTTGCCATGCAGTCCAAGCACAGGCAGGTCGATGTAGTTGAGCAATTCGCTGTAGAAGTCGACAGATGCGCACGATGACAAGAAGACGATGACCTTCTTCTTCTGGTGTTTCTTGAGGAAAGAAAACAGAAGCCTGAACCTGGTGTCTGAATCGCACAGAACGTAACCCTGCTCCAATCCCTGGACCGTGCTATGCTCGGCACGGTGATCGACGTTGATGTAGAGGGGGCCGGCCTTGAGCGATATCCTTGCGAGATCCTCGACCTTGGTGGTCTGTGTTGCGGAGAAAAGCATAGTCTGACGCTCCGTAGGCAGGATCTTGATGATGGACCTCATCTCGTCTTCGAAACCGACTTCGAGAATTCTGTCTGCCTCGTCGATGATGAGCGATCTCAAGTTCTTGAAGACAAAGCCCTGCGTGTTGTGGAGATGATCGAGGAGGCGCCCGGGAGTAGCGATGATCAGGTTCAAGCCCTTCCTGATCTTCTCTGCTTCTGCGTTTCGGTTGGCACCACCAATGCAGATACCAAACGTCTGGCTGTGTGGTTCCATGAGCTCGCGCGCTACACCGAAGATCTGCAACGCCAATTCTCTGGTCGGCGATACGACAATGACTCCAGTTCCGTTGCGCGGCTTGAACCGCAGCTGGGAGAGCATCTCGATGGCGGGGATAAGGAAAGCCAGAGTCTTTCCACTGCCAGTCTTGGCCGCTCCTAGCACATCCCTTCCTGATAGCAGAGGTGGTATAGCCTTCTGTTGGATCTCTGTCATGTTCTCAAAGCCCATGTTCTTGATAGAAGTCATCGTTCGTTCGCTCAGGTTGAGCTCGTCGAATCGCGTCGGGTTCGCTGAGGGCATCGTGGTGCCGGAGGGAAGATCAACGGCATTGCTGCCCGTGCCAGAGGGTAGTTCGGCAAGCTCTTCGTTGTCGCCTTCATCGTCTTCCTTGTCGCTGTCGTCGTCTGCAGCACTGGCTTCTGCGACGACTTCCTCTACTGCCGCTTCTTCTTCCTCATCGCTCTGTTCCTCCTCAGAATCATCATCTACCACCGGCTCTTCGACGACAGGTGCCTTGTCCTTGCGCGCCTTCTTGCGCGCCTTGGTAGCATCTACGCCATCATGCGCTGGTGCGATCGCTGGCTCAGCGCTCTTTTTGCTCTTGTGGGACCTCTTCCTCTTGTTTCCCGACTCGATCGCGGCGGGCGACATGGTGTGGAGTGTGTTGGGTGGTGCTGTGCAATGGCGCGAAAAGTTCGACTTGAAGCGCACCGGCTTGCCAAAAGTTCTAAGACCGAGAAATAATTATCGCGCTAGAGGACCCTGGCTCTGTGCACAGACCAGCTCAGCGGCATGCAGCATCGCCGTGATGTAGGAAACACCACTCAGGTGTCCAACGAACAGCTGATCAAGGAAAGAGCGTACCTGGCTGTCGCAGCTTGCACAACTGTATGGCCTCCAGGCAGGCATCTTTATTGGTGGAGGCTCATCCGATACCACCTACGCTCCTACGGCGTACGACCCACAACCTACTCATCTGCAATGTTCGGGAAACTTTCACATCTGAGCATCCTGACATCCCAAGACGAGTCCATCGGCAATGCATTAGGTACAAGATTGCCTTCCACGAGGTGAATTTATCATGGACAGAGTTTCTAGCTAGTTTATGTTAAGTATACCCGTCATTCATGACATATACGAATTATCGTTGCCCCGAGGCCTGTTCCCATACACAATGTCATCCTTAAGCCCATTACTATATGAGTTGCAAGCATGCCTCCCTCCCTTATCCCTAGTGATCACAATTCACCCTTGCAAGGCATCCAATACATCCGCCTCCAGACAAGCCAACAACCCCTTCGCCTCACCCCTATACCCCCACTTCTCAGCCGCCCTCTCAGCCCTCGTCCGCGAATTACTCGCAAACAGATACCTCGCTAGCTTCGGAAACCCAGGTAGATTGGCCATCTTATCCAGCTCCTGCAAACTTATCTGCACTGGTTCCGCATCGTGTATAACACCATGTTTGTGTAAGATTTCAGCGGTCGCTTTTGCAACACTAGACTGAGAATGCTCTTGCGTGCTGGCAAAGTAGTACCCGTTATCGTTGAAGAAATCGTGGGGAGAAGAACGCGAGACTGCGGCTTCTACGACGTGCAGGTAGAGACGCATCAAGTCGTCGATGTGAACCCAACTCCGCGTGTTGGTTCCGTCGTTGTAGTAGAATGGTTTACCACCCATGTTCTTCGCTTCTTTGATGAAGAAGGGGATGAGCGCACTGTGTGTCTTCGCTAACCCTCGACCTTTACCGTAGATATCAGGGGGACACATGATGGCTATGTTGATCTTATCTCCATGTTTTGCAATCGTGTCGTGTAAGATGGTCTCGGTGTTGCGGTGCAGGGCCGTAGGAGGCAACTGGCGGATCTCAGGCAAGGAAGTGGTGTCTGACCATATCATTGGATTTAGCTTTCCTAGATACGACTCGTCGGCCCAGTCTGATACTATTCCTGTGCCGGAGAGATGGAGTAGGTAGCCTGGTGTTGGACGTCGGAGTAGACCGGTGATGATGGCGTTGAGACTGGCTTCGTGGTCTGAGTCGCCGTTGTGAACGACGATGTCGGCGTTTTGCGCGGCAGAAGCAATCAGGTCGGCGCTGGAGTAGTCGCCGGTTAGGATGGTGATGTTGGGGTAGGTGGATGTGAAGGTTTCAGGGGTTCGTCGGAGGAGCACAGTCATGTCGTATTCTGGGTGGGTGGCCGCGAGGGTATGGAGAACGGAGCCACCGATGTAGCCTGTTCCTCCTGTTCTGGGGAAGGGTCAGTCGGGGGAATGTTAGATGGGGAGGGTGAGCCTGTACAGGAAGATCTTGGGTGCCATAATGAATTCTCAGTCAACGATGTGTGTTTGAGCGAAGGATGACTATTTAAAATGCTGTAGTGTTGAGGACTCTTGAATACGCTCGAACTTCATGAACAAGGTGCTGCGACTCCACTTTGATTGGTAATACAAGTTGTAACACTATTTTCCCTAGCACTCGGCTATATAGCATCATAGCTGACTCATTATGGGTCCGAATCATTTCGATAGTGATCCGGAGTTGATTTGAACAGTATGCTAGCCTGATGCCGATAGCATCCGACATACCATATTCACGAGAGCTGGTAGGGTTTTGTATGCTCACACCTGTATTGTTCCGTGTGGTAAATATTGCGGTCGTCGACGACACCCAAGCAAGGTCATGCCATCGTTGCTTGTGAATCCAGACCGTTACGAAGTCAATCGAGCATAGTCATCATTCAATAGATTTTGAGAGAAATTACACGGGGCTCAAATATTACCCAAATCCCTCCACGCTCACGCTCAAACCAACGAGAAGACATCTTGCAACCAACAGATTCGTCCAAACCCACCTATCGCATACGGCCGTCAAGACCCTGAAGATCACGCTCCAGATCGCTTCCGTTCCATCCACCTTGATTGAACGCTTCTTGCGGCCTTGGGTCTTCGTAGCCAGCGCGGTCGTAGTTGTTGGGTATCGGGACTTGCGGCGCCTGGTTTCCCCCAGCGCCTGCACCGGGTTGTACGCGCACCATCTGGCGGAAGCGACTGACTTCATCCAGGATCATCTTCTTCATCTCTGGGATCTCCTCGACCACCTCGAACTGGAAGTCGAATGTAGTTGGGCACGAAGGCTCGTCGGACGCATCATGCCAGATTTGTAGGTACCTGTGCTCCAGGGCTTCCTCGACTGAGATACGGCTTGAGGGATCAAAGGCGAGCATGCGGTCGAGCAGGTCAAGTGCGTCCGGATTGGCGTTCCTGAACAGGGACTGGAACGAGATCTTCTGCATGTACGGTAGATTGCGGACGTAATCTTGCGCACGGGGAGAGCCGATGCGTGAGAGTGTCTCCTCGTTTGGTGTTCCAAGGTAGTGCAGGATCTGGTTCAATTGATCGACGTAGTCGCGGCCCTTGAAGAAGGGCTTACCGCCAAGCAGCTCAGCAAGGATGCAGCCTACTGACCACACATCGACTACGCAGAGTCAGCTTGAGCTCGGCATGTGAAATGTCTAAGCGGGTTCGTCGATGCCAACGACAAACGCCATCACGAGAGAGTGACACTTACTAGCTTTTGTGTAGCTCTGGAAGCTCAACATGATCTCAGGGGCTCTGTACCATCGGGTAGCGACATATTCGGTCATGTATCCTGCGTTCTCCTCGGGGTCCATGGAGAAACCCCTGGCAAGACCAAAGTCGCAAATCTTGAGCTCGCAGTCGGCGTTGACGAGGAGGTTACCGGGCTTGAGATCGCGATGGAGTACATTGGCCGAGTGAATGTACTTGAGACCGCAGAGGATCTGGTAGATGAAGGACTGGAAGTGGGCATCGGTGAGCGGCTGGCCGGACCGGATAATGGCTGCCAGGTCGCACTCCATGAGCTCTACACGCCTATCAGCACTGTCTCATTGAAACATGGGTGTAGTCCATACCCTCGTATAGGTAGCACTCGTTGAAGTTGTCTGGGCGGGGAATGTCCATGTCGTAGAGACATGTTATCTGTGCGACGGGTTTAGCATGGGGTCGATCGGGGCACTCGGGAGCATGTGTGTCTTACGTTACGGTGGCCTGGCAGGTGTTAGTAGTGTTGCAGCCGGCAGGTGGCATGTCAACGTACCTCTAAAGTGCTGGAGCAGCTTGATCTCGCGCAGGGCACGCTTGGCAAGGATCTTCTTGCTGAAGACGTTGGTGACCTTCTTGATGGCCACGCCCTCGCCCGTCTGGTTGTTGGTAGCCGCACTGGGGGCAGAATCAGCACTTGTTATGCGGCGCGCCGTGGCTCGAGTCGTACCAGACAATGCCGTAGGCACCCTGTCCCAGCTCCTTGGTTACATTGTAGCGCTCGTCGACGATGAACTCCTGGTTGAACACCTGCAAGCTGTCAGTACGCGTGCTCGGCCCTGAATGGCGGATATAACGTTACCTTGAACACTTTGCGGTTGGCGAGGTCGCCCATGGTGGCAGCTGCGGCGGGGTAAGGCTTTTTCTATCTTCAGAGAGGTATGTAAAGAAGGTAACGATTGAAGACGCAGAAGTCGGACAATGTAGACTGTGGAGAAGAAGTGCGGGCGGCAAGCGCACGATATGATATAAGGCTAGGCGCGCGGCCAATGTGATGACTGACAGGAGCTGCTTCGACACAAAGCGGGGCGGCGGCTCTGGCACGGGGCGGGTGGTGGGACAGTCGAGGCAGGCGCAGAGTCTTCACCGGGAAGTCGCAAGCAATAGGAAAGCGATTGACAGACTGGTTTCAGCAGAAAAGCGGTCGTCCTGTGCCTCGTCGCGGCCTCCGTGAGGATATGGTGGGGTTGGTATCCAGTCGCTGCGCGGACGAGGGGTTCAACTTGGCTGCTTGCGGCAAGGCGCTGCCCAAGGCACCTTCCTCAGACCGCTTCGCCCGCGCCGCTGGCTCTGCCCTACAATCAGGACAATTGCCCGTTGCAGGCCCGCGACCGTTTAGCCAGCCGACGGCCAGCCCGACAGCATGAACGCATGAGCCTAGCGCTCCGACTTGGCTGTCATGCACCTGTACAAATCTATGGTCCCCTCAGGGTCTGCCGCCATGTGCGCGAAAAGCGTGTATTTACACTATATACACTAACAAAACGTGGCTGCTCGTTTCTACCACGTGCCGCCGTCTAGATGGGTATTCAGCCTCTGCTATGCACAATTCAAACTATTCCCTCTCAAACGCCATATCCGTGGTGCCAAGATAACCCCGCCACTTATGCCAAACAAAATAAACGCCAGTCGTAACGTCGCTGAACAAACAGCTTTTTGGCCTCATGACTCGTAAGAGAACCGCCGTCGGGAGGCATCCGTAGACCCTTCCAGCGGCGAGACGGGGGAAAGGGGATCGCCATCCGATTCGGCGCGTCGTTCTTCGCGAGCACGGTAGGGCGGCAATTGGAAAAATGTGTCCGAGGCTTCCAAGAAAGCACCGTCTCTTGGTGTGCGTGGTGTAATGGGCGACACGTTGTCGGTTGGAAGCCGACCGCTCACCATCGACACTTCGGACGGGGATATTGGTGCGAGCCTGCGCGACTCTTCGTACGCAGCTGGGGTTGCATCTGGCGTGCCGGTCGGATCTATGCCGTTGTATATCCTCTCGCGTACCACCATGGACTCCTTTTCCGACAGTTGACGGCCGCCTGCCTCGGGAAGCACAGGCATGTCTCCAGGCATCTCATAGATCTGACGCTCCTCGCCATCTGCCTCATGCACGGCTGATGATCCCTTCTCTTCTGCGCTGGAGCTCATCTCGTGATGCACATGGGATGAGCCAGGTAGCTCGGCCTTCGCGAAGACAGTCACGCCTTCTGTACTACTTCGTACTGGAGACGTCGGAGCCTCCTCTGACACGGGTGGATCCATCTTGGTGACCGCCGCCGCAGCGACATCGGCCTCGTATTGCGCTTTGATGTCTGCCAGCTTGCGCTTGTGCCGCCGTCGCCAGAACCACCACCCAATTGCGCAGAAAATCAGAGCAACGAAGAAGCCACCTCCCACTGCGATACCAATGACTGCCCCTGAAGACAAAGGCTTCTTCTTTGGGGGATCATAGTGCGGAACCGCGTAGGTGGGCGACACGATAGGCATGATTTGTGGAGCTTTGCCAAATGTCCAGTCCACCGCTGACACGGTGAAGTTCTGACGTTCCCAGTCTACGGTCAAGTAGGCTTCCTGCAGGAAGACTCTACCCAGTACCCACTGACGCGCCTCCGCACCTCGTCTGATAGGAAAGTATTTTGTCTTCTCTTGCAACCCTCTATACGGAGGAGTCGCCTCCAAGTCTAGAGCAGCATAGGGCAAAGTGATCTGCAAAGTCGAATCCGTGCTGTATTTCTGGCCGATAGTGATCGTGACACTGGGGTTTTGCGCGACGAGATCCCGGTGAAGCGCATCATCCACAAGGTAGAGATCAGTCTTTTCATCGTACTTTAGTCCAAATGCATCCTCAAAAGCTTGGCATATCTCAACCGGCAGGTAGAGTTCTGCAACCGTCGAATCAATGTACATGGTCACGTCGTCCCGGTTCATGAGGAGGTCGATATCTCCTTTCGACGTGGTATCTGCCGTGATGCCGACGACACCAACCGCCAGGTCGCGCTCATTATCCGGGGCGAAGATGAAGGTGAGGTCGTTGGGAATGAGGCGGGAGGCATCGTAGCCGCCAAGCGTGAGACTTCCGAGGACCGTCTGGTCACCTGTGCATCCGAGTCAGTGATTTGCAACGAGGGTACGTGGTAATGTCTTACGGTACTGGGCGCCTGCCGTGTAGCCAAAAGACAAACTGGGGATGCTCTTCTGGTCGAACAGCGTGGTTAGGTAGCTCGGAACGGATTCATCGAAGACGGAGAAGTTGGTCGACTTGGAATGCACGCCTATATGCCCGAGCCAGAAGTTGGCGGTGACCAAGGTGCCGATCGTGGTGTTCTGAACTGAGGGCCCCATCTCCCCGGCCCTCCCCAGACCCACCGAATCGAAGCCGTACAATCCATTGCCGACCAGTCCGAGATACTTCTCGATCCACAGTTGGTAGAAGCCCTTTTGCTGCCATGTTTCCGAGTTGCTGCTGTTGAATAGGAAGCCGCGGCTGGTTTCACAATCCGAGTCGAAGACGTTGTATGCTGTGATTTCTCCTGTCACCGGGCTCGTGGTGTTGGTGATGCACGCCATGCGATTGATGGCCCATATCTGCTGGCTTGCAGTCGACACAAAGACGCGCACATTCTCCCCTGTTTCGCCCACGCGCAGAGTAAAGGTGTTCCATGAGCCGTCGACTCCTAGCCAGTTCTGGTCCGGCGCGACGGTGACGGGTGCTGGTACCGAAGCGATGCCAGGCAGCAGCTGGAAGTTGGGCGTCTCGGTGATGTTTGTCGGCACATAGTCGGCTGCGGCAAGCAAGGGCAGGAGCAGGGCGGCGGCGAGGAAGGCGCATAGGGTTGTGTGGAAGGCACGATGCCCTCGGAAAGGGACCATGTTCCGTGACTAAGCGGCGCGTGGAAGGAGGCACGACTGGGGCCACTCAACCTCGAAGAGCGCAGCGAGCAGCATCACCGAGTGGCATTGTTTGTCCCCGCCAGCGCCACGAGAGGAGTGAAGAAAGAGAAGGAGTCCTCGGAATGCAGCCAGCATGCAAAAGCACTCTCGTCCAGAGTCGAGCCAGATTGGCGGATCCTGGCATGCCAGCCGAGAGCAAGCCAAGGCATATATTGCACCAAATGCTCTAACGAAGTTGGTCACTTGGCTAACGGGGCGAACGCTCCTTTCGATTGACGTACCCGCCATTTGCTGCGATAGCACTCTTTTTTGCGGGAGCGCCCCGACCGTCACCCTTCTGCGATCCCTCTGCTGTACGCCTTGATTTTGGCGCCTCGATGCTGTGCGGCGGACGTAAGCTTGTACGGCAACTTCGTCAGACGCCTGTAAGACGGCCATCCTGCTCCCGTCGCTTTCAACCGGTATTCTTCCGCAGCAACATAGATGAATGCAGCTGAATGCCGTGAGGCACCCGACCGACCCCTCGTTTCATCCCTACACCGATTGGCACCTGTTCGCGCAATCTGGGGTCGGCCTCTGGACTGCCATGTGCCACTGCAAGGCGCTGGCAAAGCGGCTGGGCTTAGGCCACCACGGCTCCCACTACGAGCGGGCGACGCCCACGCCCGGACTTCACGACAGCCACCCCCGAACGACAAGCTTGAAACAGTAGGTTCTGGAGCGGTTGACCAGCGCATTCGCTTAGATTTGCTCTCTCCAGTCTGGCAGATCGGCGCGCTTGCCAGAAACCTACCAGACCATCGTCATGCTCAACAAGAGGAAATCTTGAGTAATGCGTCGATCATGATGTTGGGATGAATGCTTTTTGTGCATGATGAACGTGGCGCTTCATCTCCGCAAGAGCCGCACGCCGCCTGCGTGGTAGACAATCAACACTCAGCTGAACAGCAAGGGCTGTCTACAATGGTATGGAGGCGTGTCGCACAAATACAAGCAATCGCCTATACCGAGACAGGCAGGCCGGGATTCTGATGCCTCCGCCCACACCCCAGCCTGCAACATGCTGCAGTAGCGGGGTCTTGTGCTCTCAGGGACCTGCGTGGCAGTCGCACTCAACGTACAGGATGTTGGCCAGATTCATCGTTCTTTTGCGAGGTGGACATACGTTATTGGTGTCCTCGTTCAACTCACGTGCCATCCGCCTCATACCCCTGTCCCGAATAGGAGCCTACGGACTTCGCCCAGAGCCTAGCTACCTTCCGCGCTGATCTTCCGATAAATATGCATGTCCACGCTCGGGACCACGCCAATCGATGCCGTCCATAGGGCAAAACGCGCTGGACCCGCTCATCCAGATTGCCTTTGCTGCACTCTCGTGTGCCCACCACTCTCTTGGGACGACTTGAGAGCACGACGTTCGCTATCCGTAGAGTGCTGCTCATGCAGGCACTCTACAATCGCCATGTATCTTAATCACTCGTTTCTCACAGTATGCGTCGCTTCATTTGCAGCGGGGGCCGTGTTCCATCGTGGTAAAGCCAAATCCCATTGCGCCTCGCGGCTCTGATCCGCTGCGTGCTAACCAAGCCATCAAGCCCCATATTCCAACGTCACTCTCACAACGAAGTCATCGGTATCTGCTTCGACGCTCGCACCTGTGCTCCCAGCAACTCCATCGCGTAGCGTTAGCAGCCTCGGTACAGGGATTTCTAGCGAGCATGAAATCCTTCGGCCCACCGATGCGGCCTCGACTGGACCACTGGTTTCTTCTGTGCTACCAAACGCCACGTTATCAGACGATCTGAACACAACATCGTCGCAAGACCAATATCCATCGCTAGCCACTCCTGAGATTCACTTGCCCGCTATCAACGGCACAGCGACACAGCAAACCCGCATCTCTAACGCGACATGTACGGTCAACATCCCCAGTGCAAGTGTAGATTACTGGTTTGGCCCAACATACATGCATGTGGCGGGAATTATGACAACGCAGGCATCGAATTTCAGTAACGTGGACTCTTATACCCTTGTTCCTTACACGACAACCTTTGATGCATCCAGTGCACTGGCATCAGATTATGCATGTATCTACAGCGAGTCGTATTATGCCGAATGGGATTTCACGGTTACCATGTGTGAAGAGTACACGGCAAGACCTAAAGCAGCTACAACATCTGTTGCCTACCGGTCAGCAGGCTACTCTCCTTTTCCCTCTGGTAACGTCATCCCGACGTCGGACGCCGGATTATACGATCTATACTACCCAGATACTTTCCCATCTGCCACGGCTACAATCACCCTTGGGCCAAATACTACAACGGTTCAGACTTCTGCGACACCTTTCGTCCATTTCACAGCTTACGAGGTTGAGTCGGGAAACAAAACCGAGACGGTACAGCTTCGTTCCGCACAGGTCTATCCTTACTGGATGAAAGGATTCGACGAGGAGAGTACGGTGACGGGATCACTTCCAGATGGTTTTCTCAACCAGATCCCACAGTCTGCGTGTGATGCTGGACAACTGCAGGCCACCGTCGTGACTGTCCTCATCGTTGTCGACTTATACTATCAAAATTGGCCCGGTATAGGTCCGGCCCTCATCCATGTCGAGTCGTCTGTACTTGGTTTTGACGACGGACCCGTCGTTATAAATGGTTGGGGCGGCAGCACTTCGAAATCTCCCCCTCTCACAGTAGCAGACTGGGATCTCCCAGGTGATACCAGCAAACCAAAGCCCACCAACGTCAAGCCAAACGACCGAATGGACTCAACTTCTACGACTAAGATACGCGGCAGTGAGAATAACAATGCGGTCAATCCTCCAGAATTCACTCGAGTTACTGTTGGTTCTGTGGGCACACGACCCATCGTAGTTGGTCCTTCTTCAAGAATTGTTGTCGGCTCTCAGACCTTACAAGCTGGGGGAGCCCCAGTCAACGTAGGAGGTGGGACGATGGTTTCTCTTGCGCCATCGGCTACGGCCATCGTTGTGGATGGCAGTACCTCTAGGCTACCGCAAGTTACTCCGGCGCGGCCTCCACCAGTGCTGACGATTGGCTCGACGACACTCACACCCAACGCTGCTACCCAATTCTTCGTTGGTCCAGGGCAAACCCTCACTCCTGGAGGTGTTGCTACTGTCGATGGTACCGTCGTCAGTTTGGCACCGTCGGCTTCTTTCGTGGTCATCGGAGGTTCCACCCAAGTTCTACCCGGATCATCACCAGCTCCAAACAGTCCGCCACAACTGGTAGTCGGTGGCTCAACGATCACAGCACAAGCAGCCCAAGAAAGTTCTAACAACTTCAACGGCCTAGAGAATCAAAGACCTAACCCAACGTTCGTTATCTCGGGGCAGACACTCGCTCCGGGTGCTCCTGCCATTACCGTTTCGGGCACCACGCTATCACTAGCACCCTCGGGAAGCGTACTGGTGGTTAATGGAGCGTCCTCGACGATACAGATCCCAGCTGTCCCTGCCGTAACGCCACCAGCACTTACTGTCGGCGATAGCGTCTTCCCTGCTTTTGACAATCCGCGAAACACATTCGTTATCGCAGGTCAGACACTGGTGCCTGGAGGATCGGCAATCACTGCATCTGGTACCACGTTTTCGTTGGCATCATCAGCATCCTTCGTTTTGGTCAATGGCGTCACATCCGTGATAGCGAACCCAGCGGCGCCGACTCTCAATGTTGGTAACAATGTCTTCACACCCATTTCGGCCTCACCAGGAATATCCTTCGTTGTTGGCGATGAACCCCTCGTTCCAGGTGGACCAGCCATAACTTTCTCCGGAACCACAATATCGCTTGCACCTTCTGCTTCATTCGTTGTTGTCAACGGGGTTACTTCATCCCTCGCTATTCCTACTCCACAGGTCGGCAAACCTCCTACGATCACCGTCGGCGATGATGTCATCGGTGCTCTTCCAGAGCCCTCAGGGCCCACCTTTGTAATAGATGGCCAAACACTCGTTCCTGGTGGCCCAGATATTACCGTCTCGGGCACTACACTGTCACTCGCTCAATCGGCATCATTCGTTGTGATCAACGGCGTTACATCTACATTGGCTACTCCAGCCCCTCCACAAATTACAGCGCCTCCTTTGACCATTGGAGATCTGACATTCGGGCCGCTCCCAGGAACTAGCACTGCCTATCTAATCGGGTCGAGACTGCTTACCGTGGGGGGCTCGATCGTTGTCTCAGGTGTTACGATCTCGCTCGCACCCGGAGCTACAGCCTTGGTCGTCAACGGCAAGACCAGCTTCATTTCGCCGCAGGCCCAGCCCGCCATCACCAATCCTCCATTGCTCACTATTGGTTCGCAGACATACACTGCAGAATTAGGGAGTGGGACGGTCTTCATCATTGAAGGACAGACTTTGATGCCAGGAGGCACAATTACCGTCGATGGCACAACGATCAGTCTTGCATGGGGGGCGACAGAGTTGGTTTACGGATCTTCAGGACGCACTACAAAAAGCGCCTTGTTTCCCGCTACCACGACCCGCCTTCAAAGCGTGACCACCAATAGTCCGAGTGCAAGGGCCAGTAAGCCCGACGGACAGGCGACAGCGACGAGTACGAAGGAGGGCGCAGCATACCACTCCGACTACCCGAGCTTAATGTTGCTTGCACTGTTTATCATTTTTGCTTTGCTTTAGGGTGCGTAGCATGTTGAACGGTTTTCGACATGGATTCATGGTTTTCTATGGGTATAATGAGCATTATTTGGGCGTCCTCGGGTTATCACCGGTAAGTGATACCACGTGTACAACAAGATCATCATCGGCGTTTAATCCATTCGCGGCGGCACATGCACGATCGCAGCGAAACGACCTCATCATCCAAAACGCCTGTCAAAGACAGGATCTGGTAGATGGAAGAGGTACCAGTTAGAGAGTGGCGCATCAGTTAATAATACCCAGGGATTGGGATGGTTGGTAGACAATGAGAACTATTGAGCACGTTTTGAGTGTCGAACAGGTACTTAAAGGTGAAGGGACTCTCAATTGATGTTGGAGAAGGCCACCACCACGGGGCGGTAATGTTACTGCAAGCCACTACGCACATACGCGACAACGTGCATCGGCGCAACGCTCAGCTCCACAAACGACAAAAACAACATACCGCAAGGGCGCGTTTTGCGTTCCTCATCTAAGCGCCTCATCTCCGTTCATTCGTCAAGCGGCGCAGCACTTTACATTATCTCGAAGCACGGGTGCGGCATTTCGACTATCTATGCAGGACGATAGTATAGCCGGTGGTTCTTTCGTGCTGAAGCAAAACGAAGATGGCGTCACGACTCGACTGCGAAAACGGTGTTGTCTAAAGCGATGCCTCGGAAGTGTCGAAACATCACCATTGTCTTGGCAGGTACAGGCGCGCAATTTCCCCCACTGAAGGAATTCGTTTCATGTTGTCTCGCGAACGAATACACCCTTAGCGAAGTTTTCGCCCCACCACCGAGGTTGCTTTCCCGTCGAACTGCAGGATCTAGAATACCGGATCAACGAAATGAGAGTCATTGTAGACCGGTGGCATAAGGGATGGAGAGTAGGGAGATTGCGTAGTGTGGCGGTGACGATGGGGGCACGCAGCGGTAACTACCAATCGGTCTCTGACATACCTAGGTAACGTTATGGCACAAGCAAACAATCAACTGCGAACATGTGGATGCGAGTAGCATTGACAGCAGAACATGTTGGCGCTTCAGCGCATGACGTTTCGTTAAACGCCTGGGATAGCCAGACTTCAACCGATCAAGCTTTTTCGACATGGTTTCACGTTTCCCATGAGGCTCTCCCGTTATTCGTTGCGCAACGTCTGATACAGGCCACCTCCAGGCACATGCATGGAGGCGACGCCTTCAAATCTCTCCATGACAATAGCTCATCACATATTATGGGGCGTAGGAACGGAGCAGACCTGGATTCAACGTTCTGCGGCAGCTAACCGAAGCCACGCTTCCGGTTCGGGCGCTAGCGCAGTGCTGAATAGATTGACAGGTGCTTGGCATCAATCCACAGACCCGGGTTTCATGTCGTTGGCGCTGTCAGGATTCTGTCAGTGAGGCACTAATCTTGTCATGGCGCAACTGTGCCGTGTAGGCGGAGGGAGTATAAGAGATACAGAGGCCATCGACAATGAGAGGGCATCAAGCTTGACGCTGACACTCACTTTCACACGCTCTTTAGCATTACACTCACTTTCGATCCATTCGTCTATCATTCATTCGTTTCCATTCTATCTTTGAAGATACGCTCAACCTTTTCAAATCCAACCAACCAACCAACCAACACACCAACCGCAAACATGTTCACCAAGACTGCTATCATCCTGGCTGCTGCCAACCTCGCCGCCGCGCACACCACCTTCCAGAGCTTCGTCATTGACGGCAAGGACCAGGGCCAGCACTTCGCTGTCCAGACTCCTTCCAACGGCAACAACCCCATCCTCGATGTCACCTCCACTGCCATGATCTGCAACGGTGGCAAGGCCACCTCCGACCAGGTCGAGGTTGCTGCTGGCTCCAAGCTCGGCATGCAATGGCACCACAACGACCCCGCCTCCGCTGGCGACGGTGACGACCCGATCGCTCCCTCCCACAAGGGACCCGTCATGGTCTACATCGCCAAGGCCGACACCAACGGCGAGGGCGCCGTCTGGACCAAGATCTACGAGGACGGTCTCACCGGCTCCAAGTGGGGTGTTGATAACCTCATCTCCTCCAAGGGACTCTTGGAGATTGACCTCCCCAACCTCGAGGCTGGCGACTACCTCATCCGCCCCGAGATGATCGGTCTCCACGAGGCCAGCGCCGAGGGCAAGGCCCAGTTCTACAACGGCTGCGGTCAAATCAAGGTCACTGGCAGCGGCTCTGCTGCTCTCCCCGCCACCGGTGTCGACATGACCAAGGCTTACAAGGCCACCGACCCCGGTGTCATGTTCAACATCTACGGTGGTGCCACCGACTACACCGTCCCCGGTCCCAAGGTCTGGGACGCCGCCACCGCCGGCAGCGCCCCTTCCACCCCCTCCAAGCCTGTTGAGTCGGCTGCCCCCTCCACCCCCGCCTCCAGCGCCGCTCCTTCCGCCACTCCCTCTCCCGTCGAGTCGGCCGCTCCCTCTGCTCCCTCTGCCACCAAGCCCGCTGCCACCCCCTCTCCTTCCACCGGCAGCGGCTCTGCTCTCCCCGAGACCTTCACCATCGAGCAGTTCATCCAGTGGCTCAAGACCGCCACCGGCAGCTCTGCCTCCAAGGCTCGCCGCCACGCCCGCGCTTTCAACTTGTAAGCGCTTTCTACAAATGGTCGCAAGTCGATCTTTCTTGCATGAACTGGTGTTCATGGTTGGTCCTTTTTGAGACGTATCTTCTTTGATGGGACGCCCCCATACTCTTTCTTCCATAGACCGCGAGATCGGCTAGCTCTTCTTTTGATGTAAATATAGCATTCACGACGAATGGAATTCGAAAAGTCTTTGTACAATTGTTGCTTGATTGATGTGCTCGTTGTGACTGAGTGATACCATCAGATATTGATTAAATATTGCTGTTAGTGCATGGCACAATCCATGCCTTGGACGCCTACAAGAAAGCATTATCGTTCATGTTGTACTACACATGGTACGTGGAAGAATACATCGTCTTGTATACATTCTGTCTCTTCCATCATAAAAGGTATGTATGCATCAACACGACAGATGCCCTGTCAGCCAGTACTTTATCCCAGAACGTCGTCCACATGGCGGATTTCCTTTCAATCATAGGCTCATCATCCAATCGTCGAGATACTTATCATCCTCCATCTTCCGCAGCAGCCCCTCGTATCTCTTACCTTCCCTCACACCCTCATCCAGATTCCACGGCAGCTTATCACACTGCTCGACATCCTCATAAAACGTCGCCCCAAACTCTTCCAGAGTCTTACATCACTCCTCCATTGTTCTGCAATACGCCAAGTCCACCCAGTCTTCGGGCTTTCGGGGCGGATCGTATTCCTCCAACCATGTTTGCGAGTTCTCAGCCCATATCACCAGGACCCAGATGCCAGAACCGGTAGGCGTGTAGGCAACATGTAGGTCGGATGGGAAGTGGTGGCCGTAGGGATATGGTTCGTCTCTTGTGTGGCGGTCGTAGAACTTGAGGGATGGCCACCAACGCGCGCCTAGGTGGAGCATACGTAGCGCGAACGCGTCCTCTTGCTCTTGGTCGGAGAGCGGTCCTGAATCTGACATCTTGTGTGAGAGGCCAAGGTGCTCCAGCTCGGGGTTTGTAAACCTCTTCATGGTGATACCGCCGTGCGATGGGTATGAATAGACTGTGCATGCAGTCCTCAATTCGAAAGTTATTCTGGCGCGTGTTCCTTGCGAGGCTGGCATATTCGAATGGCGAAGGCTTCTGTCCAGAGAGTCTGGATGTGTTGATGCCTAGGTAGGTATTCAGCAAAGTGCAGCTGATGATCAGGCAGCATTCCTGAGGGTGCTGACGCCGCAGTTGCTACGCCGCAGGCTCGCAGCCATGGCATTCTTGATGCGAAACAGCCCAGTCACATTTTCTGTCGACGCTGACAAGGACCTCATATCTCAGGAAGTACGTCTTCACATCCCAAGTCGAAGCATACATTGATTTCTATACGTGTCCATTGTTGGCGCACAACAGCAATGTATGCAGTAATGCGACTCAGACTCTTGTCATCCTCCACTGCGTTTTGGTATGCCGTCCGCATAGTCATCTCAAGAATCCCGTTGTTGATGGCGTTGCAACGATGTCGCACTCGGGCCGTTTGTGCAACTGGCTCGTAATGCCGAGGCTCAGCCGAACCCAATGGCGCAATGTCCACGGGTCTTTCCGATCGGACCGTCCTCCTGTCTATTTCGAATCATCTTTTGACACTATACATCACACCTTCTCAACTCAAGCATTTCGCCGCGAACAAGCTTTCGCAAGCTAACTTGGCAGATGGAAAGCCTACTACCCTTCAGGTGTGCACGCCGGGCATCACCTATCACGAACTTCCTATCCCGTACTAGCACTACCACACCAATCCTTGCCAAGTCACACGCCAACTGATAAGCAACGACAAGCTTCTGCTGCAGTTAATTTATCCGGCATATCTGCGCCATGGGAGCTTTCCGTCGTTGCATAGGGTCTTTGGACAGTAGCGATTTCGAAATTCGATGTGGTCGCGAGCCGAGGTACAGTGAGAAATGCCATCGCACAGTAGAGCTGATGGAAATTGTAAGGAACTCAGGGAGATCAGATGTACTATGTCATGAAGAGCATGCTCATCTCCAAGGATCTCGCAATGCGATCGAGCACCGCATCTCCCACAATCTCTTTCACTTTCGCTGTCGAATCTGCAAGAGAGCGTTCGGGTGTTATCCCAAAGAGGCAGGAGAACCTGACGATGCAAGCACGACAACCACGAAGTCGGACACTTTCACGCACATGTGGTCGAAGTGACAGTGATGTGATAGGCGGACTTCGTCCCATATACCAGGAAAACCACTTATCAGGGTCTTCTGATACCTGCGGAGTCAACACACAAGCGGGACTGTCCACTCATACCCCTGTTCAGTCCGGTAATTCGCCGATCTCTTGGTGAAGAGGCCCTCACCAAACGACCTGGGCTACCAATCAGTAATTCGTATCTCGGCGTTCGACCTGATGGATCTTGTGAGCCGCTTTCCAGTCCAGCATGGAGGGCGAGCTCAGCTGGATAGCTATGCACCTGACCAGTAGGTATTAGGAAGGTATCATCAAGTGTTGGATCTGGACCATCGCGCCATCGTATAACGAGTGTGCCTAGAGGTATACGACATGAAGTACGAGTTCGAGCTGGGAAGTATATAAAGAGTGTTGAGCACCGCTGGTAACACTGCACTCATCAACGCAGCAATCGCTTCAGCAGTCTATCGTTCTACTCTCGATCCCTTCTCTCGCTTCGACTACCTTCTCAGTCCCTCAAGATCATCCTATCCTTCATCATGAAGCTTTCCATCGCTATCCTCGCCGCCGTCACCGGCTCCGTTCTGGCCCGTCCCTCCTCTCTCGCTGAGCGCGTTCAATCCCGTGCTGATGGCAGTCGCCGTCACAGGACCCAGCCCATGATTCTAGTGGGCACGGCTGCAAAGGAGAACGCCAAGTTCGTCGCAGACGTGGACAACACCACCGCCCACGTCGACTACTCCTCCAACTGGTCCGGTGCCGTCCTCGAGACACCCTCCTCCGGCTACTTCAAGTCAGCCACCGGACGTTTCACTGTGCCCACACCCAAGCACGTTGGCTCTGGTGGTACCGAGTCTTCCTCAGCCTGGGTTGGTATCGACGGCGATACCTGCGGCAGTGGTCTGCTTCAAGCAGGTATCGACTTCACCGTCAGCAGCTCCGGCGCTGTCTCCTACGACGCCTGGTACGAGTGGTACCCCGACTACGCCTACGACTTCAGCAACTTCGCCGTCAAGGCCGGCAACGTCATCCAAGTCGACATCGTCGCTACCTCCACCACCAAGGGCACAGTCTCGCTCACCAACGTGAGCACGGGAAAGAAGGTCAGCCAGACACTTAGCGCACCCAGCGGCTCCGTCCTGTGCCGTCAAAATGCAGAGTGGATTGTAGAGGACTTTGAGTCGGGAGGTAGCTTGGTTGCGCTGAGCAATTTTGGTACTGTTGTCTTCACGCAGGCGAGTGCTAGCCTGAGCACTGGTGGAACGGATGGGTTGAGCGGTGCTACTATTATTGATCTTAAGCAGGGTAGCACTGTTTACACTGATGTTACTATCAACAGCGGGTCGCAGGTTACTGTTCAGTACATCTAAGTTGTGGGTGGTAGGAGAGGAAATCGTGGTCTGAAGGCTGCGATGGGGTCTACATGAGGCATGGACAATACTACAATAGGTAGAGGGTAGACGGGCGATCACAGATAACCGGAGTTTGAGGACTAAACAGCAATGAACTATTCACGTGTAAAAAGACCCAGCGTCAACGTAGACGTCAAGGTCCTATGTAAATCTGCAAATCACACTTCTCTTGCTGTTGTAGTATGTAACGCGATTGACGGCTCGTTCGTTTATTGTATGAATGCATTCACATTGTTTTCTATCTACTCCCGATCAAAGCTGACGTGTAGACATTCTGAATGCATAAAGTAAGCCCTCCCTCAATGAAAGTCCTTCCCAGTCCGTCTTGAGTCGCTCCTAGAGTGTGCCTCGAATGAGATCTCACTTCTTGGTGCCGCCGCTCTGCTGGCCACCGGCATTGGCATTGCGATCGCCAGCGCCCTGAGCGCGAGCAGCAAAGCCACCGGAAGACATGTCTCCGCCGGACTTGGCCTGAGTGAAGAGAATGTTAGCATCCTAACAGATGAATAGTTCAGCGAAGCATGACGGAGTGCCTCACCTGTGAGGATTGGATCCTGCTAGCATCAGACTGGCTCATTGGGGTAGAACCTTTGGAGCCACCGCCAGTATTACCGGTGTTGGGGCCCTGGTTAGATGCAGGCATGGTGGGTAGTTTGGTGAGTTGAGGTTTGAGTGCTCGGTTTAGCAAAGATTGGTGATGTAGGAGTTGTCACGTATGATGAACGCGATGCTTCCATTATCTGCGTGCGAGGACGTGTTCTTATACAGCTGACCTCGAGGGCATCTTTGGTCGTTGATGATGTTGCCGCGGAGCTGGTCGTGGGTACGTCGGCTAGCGCATGTAGTACAGCAGCAACATCATGCCTCTGTATATTGAAACGAAAATGTAGACGCCAGGGTCGTCTACACCGCTCTTTGCCATGTCGGGGGTTATGCATACTTCGAAGAGTATGTGAAGTGATGTGCCCAAGAGAGCAAACACGATATCTCTAGCGCTCCTGCCCTTCCATCATGTGCGCCGAGCGTACCTACCCAGATAGCCTTGCAAAGTGGCTTGGGACACTGCTGAAATCTCAAGACTTTTCTCTACTCAATACTTCAGCCTTCTTACGAGACATCATGGCCGACATCATAGCGACGTCTATTGCTTGTGAACACCTCCGATCGACACGCATGGCGTAGCACAACAACCTCGATGACGACAGCCAACGAGAATTGGACGCGCAAAACTACATCTTGCCTCCTAAGTCTGGAGTCCCCGTCGTCTCATCGTACGATTCTTGCGCAAAGCGACGCATGAAGCATGCTGCCGATGGTACTGCGCCCTGATGTATGGGTATCACAGTGATGGCAATGACGATGCCGATTCGAGCAGTGGCAACGGATGATACGTTAGATACGCCCATTCTAGATATCCGAGAGATTGTTCGACCTGCGATCTGCGCGATTAAGAGCATGTCAAGATCAGTACATTCATCAAGGCGGAAGTCTCGTCTGATGCTTTTCAGCTGCGTTTGCTAACTGTCAAGATACACAGCAGAAAGTATGGGCCTGAATTAGTTGTAACGATCTAAATGATACGAAGCTAGGGTTGCATCAAGATCGAGGTTACAGTTAGCTGTTGTTAGTGCAGCGGTCTCGTGCAGGATGTTGACAAGGACTTCCTAATAGAGGTTATGGAAAGGGCTACATTAGGTTGAGACTAGATAGATGGTCGCGGTTGAGTGTACTATAACGACTACGTTGCTACTCCACACCATGGAGATACTGGGCAGAAATGCTCTGCAGCATACATCACAATAGACTACATGCTTCCACAAAGGTCTAACATCAATGTAGACGTCAAGGTCTCTTGTAGACTTACAAACTGACCTTCGATTATTGTTGTAGTCTGCAACACATTTAGGATATCAACGGGAAAGGAAGAGACGAACAGCTTGTTCGATATGATGTGAAATGCATTCACATTGTTATATTTACCCGCAACGTCTGTCATAGCTACGACAAAAGTATATCGAGATAATACATGTCGCTGCTAATCTAGCATAGCCATGATCTGAGTGAACCGCTTCTACGCGCTCAACATCCAGCTCCGATATCCACTCGTCGCCACGCTCCTGGCTCTTTTCTCAAGCCTAACCCTGCTCCGCCGCCTTGCGCATACGCTTCTCATGCTTCTTGTGCCTCTTCTTCGTCCTCTTCGCATACTTCTCCAAATTCGCAATACGGTTCTTCGCCCAGTTGGGACCGGCGTCGGGAGGCGGGGCTGTAGAAGGGCATCGTAGTTAGCCAATGGATCGTATAGATATAAAACAAAGCAGCAAATAGACGCCTTACTTCCAAGGTCTCCTCTAAGCAGACGTTCCTTCTCGTCCTCTCGACGCTCATGCTTCCGCTCGAAACGTTGGTGACGGTGTCCGGACGATTCCGTGCGACAGCTCTGGGTGCGCTTCGGGTTTCGTGGTTTGGGGTCATGCGGGTTCTGCGAGGGCATCTTGGTAGGGTGCGAGTATTTTCCC